TACATTGTTGGTGGGAGTGTAAACTACTTCAACCATTGTGGAAGACAGTGTGATGATTTCTCAAGGATCTAGAAATAGAAATTCCATTTGACCCAGCAATCCCATTACTGGGTGTATACCCAAAAAACTATAAATCATTCTATTATAAAGACACATGCACACGTATGTTCATCATGGCACTGTTTACAATAACAAAGACCTGGAACCAACCCAAATACCCATCAATGATAGAATGGACAGGGAAAATATGGCACATATACACCATGGAATACTACACAGCCATAAAAAATGATGAGTTAGTGTCCTTTGTAGGAACATGGATGAATCTGGAAACCATCATTCTCAGCAAACTTACACAAGAACAGAAAATCAAACACCACATGTTCTCACTCATAGCGAGGTGTTGAACAATGATAACACATGGACACAGGGAGGGGAGCATCACACATTGGGGTCTGTTGTGGGGGGATACGGGTGGGACAGTGGGGACTGGGGAGGGTAGGAAGGGGTAATGTGGGGAGAAATGTCATGTATAGGGGATGGGGGATGGAGGCAGCAAAACACCTTGCCATGTATGTACCTATGAAACAATCCTGCATGATCTACACATGTACTCCAGAACCTAAAGTACAATTTAAAAAATAAATAAGTAAATAAAAACCCCAAAGCTAGCTTGATCTTTGTCAATATTGACTGAAGCCCCCACACTCAATAAAGATATAGAAAACTGAAACAAAATTGTCTACCTGACCTAATTGACAATTATGGAGCAGAAATAGCAGAATAAGCATGCTTTTCAAGTACATATAAAACATACAAGATAAAACATATTCTGGATCATAAAAGTAAATAAATTTTAAAAAGCTAAAATCATACATATTTTATTATTTACCATAAGAGAATTAAACCAGAAATCAATCAAAGAAAGATACTGGTAAACAATGCATTTATAAATAACCTATCGGTTATTAGAACTCATAAAAATCACAAGAGAATTTTTTTAAATTTTGAATTGGGTGAAAATGTTAATAGAATATAGCCTAATTTATAGACAAAGATAAAGCAGTACATAGAAATTTAAAGCATTTTATTAGAAGAGAAAAAGTTCTCAAATCAAAAATCTAAATTTTGCCTAAATGACTAAAAAATGCAAATTAAATCCAAAGTAAACAGAAAAAAATAATAAATGGAAAAATCAGAGATATTGAAAACAAGAGCTACTTCTTTGAAAATGTTAATGTAATTAATAAATCTCTAGCCAGATTAATTAGGGAAAAAGATAGAGCACATATTACAATATAGGGAATGAAAGAGGGGCTATCACTACAAATCCTACAGACACTAAAAGAAATATAAGGGAATAAACAATTTTATATGAGCAACTTCATTAAAGTAGATTAAGTATGGCAACTTCTTGAAACATAAAAACTACGAGAGCTTACAGAAAAAGAAATAGATAATCTAAATGGCCTGCATATACTTTTAATTAAAGTTTTAAATTAAAATTTAATTAATTTTTTAAATTAAAATTTAATTAATTTTTTAAATTTAAAATGTGTCTATAAAGAAAACTCTAGGCCCTAGTGACTTTGCTGGGACTCTACCAGATATGTAAGGAGAAAATAGTATTAACTCTATATAAAATTTTCCAGAAAATAGGGAATACTTCCCACCTAATTTTATAAGATCAGCATTACCTGATATCAAAAGCAGAAAAGTGTTACAAGAAAAAAAAAAACTACAAATAAATTTCTTTTTTTTTTTTTTTTTTGAGACAGGGTCTGGCTCTATCACCCAGGCTGGAGTGCAGTGGTGTGATCTCTGCTTACTGCAACCTCTGTCTCCCAGGTTCAAGCCATCCTCCCACCTCAACCTTCCAAATAGCTGGGACTACAAGTGTGCACCACCACATTAGCCAATGTTTGTATTTTTTGTAGAGATAGAGTTTTGCCATGTTTCCCAGGCTAGTCTCGAACTCATGAGTTCAAGTAATCTGCCCACCTTGGCCTCCCAAAGTGCTGGGATTACAGGCATGAGCCATCGTGCCTGGCCACAAACCAATATCTTCCATAAATACAGTTATAAAATCTTCAGTAAAATGTTAGCAAATTGAATCAACAAATTTATAAAAAGGATAATGCATCATAACCAAGTAGAATTTATATCAGGAATACGAAATTGGTGCAACATTCAAAGCCAATCAGTATTACTCATTGTATCAATGTAAGCAGGAAAAATCATAAGAGCATTATCTACAGATATAAGAAAAGTATTTAACAAAGTTCAACATCCATTCATGATAAAAACTCTCAGAAAACTAGAGATAGAATAGAGCTTCCTCAACCTGAAAAAAAAAAGCATCTGCAAAACATTGCACTGGAGGCATTATCCAGTACAATAAGTCAAGAAAAATAAATAAAAGGCATACAGATTGCAAACAAAGAAGTAAAACTGTCTTTAACTGCATATGATTCATATACCTGGAAAAAAGTAAACCACAGAAAAGATACTATAACCAATATGTAAGTTTAGCAAGCTCTCAGGATACATGGTAAATAGATCAATACCAATTGCATTTATGTATGTTAATAATAAACAATCCAAATTAATTCATCCTTTATAATAGCATCAAAAACCATGAAATACTTAAGAGGAAATCTTAACAAAGAGTGTGCAAAATTTGTGTGCTGAAACTACAAAACACTGACAAGAGAAAATAAAAACAATACAAATAAATGAAAAGAAATACTATGTCCATGGGCCAGAAAATTTAATATTGTCAAAAGGTCAATTCTCCCCAAATTGATCTACAGATTCAACATAATCTCTGTCCAATTTTCAACAATTTTTTATGAGTGGATTCTAAAATTTATATAGCAAAGCAAAGGACCTAGAATAGCCAAAATAATTTTGGGAAAAAAAGGAACATAAAGTTACAAAATGCAAGATAGTGTGGTATTGCATGATAAACAAATAGATCAATGGAACAAACAGAGAGCCAGAAATTGTGTGTGTGTGTGTGTGTGTGTGTGTGTGCGCGCGCGCACGCGCGCGATGGATTGATTTTTGACAAGGTGCCAAGGAAATTAGCAGAGAAAGGATAGGTTTTTCAACAAATCAGTACTGGAAATACTGGATATCCATATGCAAAAAAGAAAAATAAAGGCTTACCTTGAACCATATACAATAATTAACTCAAAATGGATCACAAATCTAAATCTAGAAGCTAAAACTATAGAACATCTAGAACAAACACACCTAGTAGAAACTTTTTTAAGACCTTGAGTTAGGAAAAGATTTTTAGGTAGGGCACAAAAAGCACAAATCATAAAACAACTGATAAAAACGTATGTCATCAAAATTAAGCATTATTCCCTTTCAAATACCCAGTTAAGAACATGTAAAGATAATCCACAGACTGGGCCAGGCACAGTGGCTCATGTCTGTAATCCCAGAACTTTGGGAGGCCGAGGTGGGCGGATCACCTGAGGTCAGGAGTTTGAGACCAGCCAGGCCAACATGGTGAAACCCCAGCTCTACTGAAATTACAAAAAATTAGCTGGGCATGGTGGTGGACGCATGTAATCCTAGCTACTCAGGAGGCTGAGATGGGAGGATCACTTGAACCTGGTAGGCAGAGGTTGCAGTGAGCAGAGATCGCACCACTGCACTCCAGCCTCAGTGACAGGAGACCCAGGCTCAAAAAAAATAAGATAAACCACAGACTGGGAGAAAATATTTACAAGACACATATCTGATAAAGACTTATATAGAAAGAATCCCTACAACTTAACAATAAGACAAACAACACAATTTTTTTCTAATGGGCAGAAGATTTGAACAGACTACTTCACCAAAGAAGACATAAGTACATGAGAAAATATCATTAGTCACTAGAGAAATGCAATAAAAGCTACAATAAAATACTATTAAACTTCTCCAGAATTATAATTAATTAACAAAAATAAAAGACTGGCAGCATCAAGTGCCATCAAGGATGCAAAAACAACTGGAATTCTCAGAATTGTTTGTGAGAATGGAAAATGATACAGCCACTTTGGAAAAGTGTGACAGTTTCTCATAGAATTCAGCATTACACTTACCAAACAACTTAGCAATTCCAACCCTAGGTATTTAGCCAAGAAAAAAAAAAAACAAATATCCAAGCAAAATCCTATACCAGAATATATGCATCAGCTTTACTTATAATCTCTAAAACTAGAAAGCAACCCAAATGCCCTTCACACAATGATGGATAAACAAACCGTAGTACATTCAAACACTGAAATATTACTCAGCAATAAAAAGGAACAGAACTACTGAAATACCAATGAAATGAATGAATCTCAAAAGCAATGTTAAATGTCAGAAAGCAGGCACAAAATGTACATACTGTATGATTTCATTTATATTAGAGTCACAAAAAAGCAAAAGATCTCGCTCAATCTCGATCAATCATCCTCAGTGCCTAGCATGTTATAAAATACCCAACAAATGCTAGGTGGTGGACGGATAAACGAGGAATCACTGCAGGGAGGGTAAAGTGCGAGAAAGTGATACACTGACGAGAAAGCAGAAAGGTACCTGGGGGCCCAAGTTCACCCACAGGACAGAAAAAGTGAAGGAAGGCGTGGTCCAAGCCACCTTCAGTGAATCTAGCAGCTTAAAAAATTAGACCCTGTAAATTACTACAAGAACAGATAAATGACTCAGTAAACTAAGCGTTTCTCTGGTCTGAAAAATGGTGTGATGCGCCCCATCCTTCTTTAAAAATCTGTCAACCACTCCTGGGGCTGAGGCAGCAGAGATTGCACTGGACAGGGAAATGGGTTTTTTTTTTGTTTGTTTGCCTTTTTTTTTTTCGGTCTTTTTTTTTTTTGAGCACCAGAGCGGAGCTGGAAGGTCATTGGCGAGCTCTGGCTTGGGTGAGGAGGGTGAAGAAGAAGAGACGTCGCCGCGGCCCCGCCCGTCTCCATCCCTTCCCACTGGGCCTCACTTACCCAGGCCTGCCGTTCCAGCTGAGAGTACAAATTGGAGCCCTTGAGCTTTTGGACTATCTGGGCAATAATAAGCGAGAGGTCCGACTCCTCCTGCAACATTGCCCCTGCCCTAGCCCGCCAAGCCGCGGGGACAGGCCGCCGGCAGGGAGCGAACGGGCTACCGTGTCCCACTCAGGGCCAGTGACACTTCTCCGGGACCTTATCACACTGGGACTTCTCCAGCGGGCGTTACCAGGCAACTGCCGAGCCCTGTGTCCGTCCCTCTCGGGTCCCCTCAGCGCCTGAAGGCCCCAGCATCTGCGTTCCGCCTGCAGAAAAAGACCGGGGCGGGGAGAACACATTTCATATTTTTCATTGTTCCTGCCTCGTCTGTGGTTGAAAGGCAAGAACAGAAGCTCATTCCTTCAGAACCACAGCGCCTCTGATGCACAAGGAGGACACGGAGAATTGTGCGTTTTACTATATAAAGGATCATTCTCTTCCCCCTCTCAATTTCTACAGAAAGAGGACTGTGGCACACAATGATACTGCGAATTACACCCAAGAATTGTTAGGCTCTGACGCTAGCTGCGTGAAAGTGCTACAGTTTCCGCCTCTGTAAAATAACTCTCAATTTGCAGTGTGTTGTGATGATTATCTTAAGTAAAAATTGTGAAGGCGCCTAGCACTGTACCATAGCACACCATTTTACTTCATTTTCTCTCGTTTCTCTAGTCTTACACCAGGAATAAGTAGACAATCTCATCTCATCTAACAACTACAAATTAACCAAGAGACATTATTGATAGGTTTTCTGCAACGCATGAGCAATTCAAGGATGAATAAGACATTGTCCCAGTCTTCAAGGAATTTACCGTCTAGATTCATCCTCTTCCACGTATTCATTCATTCAAGCATTTATTAATAATTCATTCAGCTTTCAACTTACTGAACATTTACATAAAAGGAACCGTGTTGGCACAAAGGTTTAATAAAATATGGTTCTTGCCTGCAAGGAAATACAAAAAAGATTTTTAGCAGAAATAAAATTAACTGATTTAAATTATTGAAAGACATGTCAAAAGGCTAACAGCACCTCCACTCCCCCCGCCAAAAAGGCCTAGTGAATAATACACACATTAGAATAACCTCACAAAAGTAATCGAAATTAAGTTCAAATGTATATACACATATTTTGTTTGTTTGTTTGTTTAAAACAGAGTCTCACTCTGTTGCCCAGGCTGGAGTGCAGTGGCCTGATCTTGGCTCACTGCAACCTCTGCCTCCCGGGTTCAAGCGATTATTCTGCTTCAGCCTTCTGAGTAGCTGGGTCCACAGGCCCACCTACCACCAGGCCCAGCTAATTATTCTTGTATCTTTAGTAGAGACTGGGTTTTGCCATGTTGGCCAGGGTGGTCTCGAACCACTACTGACCTCAAGTAATCCACCCACCTCAGCCTCCTAAAGTGCTGGGATTACAGGTATAGGCCACAGCACCCAACCTGTATATGCATATTTTAAGTGAAGCAAAAATAGGATTTCAAGAAAATAGACCAAGATTGCTGCAAAGGATACACTAACTAGAAACAAAAGAGATCTTGTTCAATCAAATGCAGGTTCTAATTCAATAGGTCTCTGGTGAGAACTGGTAAACTGCATTTCTGACAAGTCCCAAGAAACTGTGATGCCGATGGTCCAAAGGCTACATTCTGAATAGCAAAGGACTAAAGCAGGAAATAATAAGAATTCAAAGGGCACGGCCCCGGCCTCGATGCACAACACTCTGACATTTATAACACCACCATCCAGAATGCTGGGATGATAAGTACAAATTCTAAATAACTCCCTTGGTAAACTTTGTTTATCAAACCAAGTTTAGAAAGAGGCAGGCAGGAAAGAAACAAAGCACTTAAAGGCAATTAATGACAGACTCTATAAAATGCAGTTTTTCTACAAAACATTCTGTCACAACTCAGAATTTCTCAAAGCTGCAGGTGAGTAGATACTGTCAACTCTTGCATCTCAACACTCCGCCCAACTGTGAATCGCCACCACAAACCTTACTTTGAACAAAGGGAGAGAGACAGACAGAGGAGAGAGAGCACTACCATAACAGTTCCTTTGAGATTGAAAGAGATGGAGTAATGAGTTGCCAAAGAGATAAAGATGCTTCAGCTGGAAACAGTAATAGAGCATTGAAGGTAAAGATAAAGCCATAGAGCAGAAGAAAAGGCATTGTGCTTGGAGTCAGAAAACACTCTGGCTTCCTTCCTAGATCTGAGAAATGTATGAGTCTTTTTCCCCATCAGAGTTTCATTTTCTTCTCCTATCAAGAGTGTAAAATATCCAACTAAGGGAATAGTATGAGGAACAAATATACCAACTATTAGAATATTCATAAATATTAATAAATTAAATATTGAAATAGTGATAAATAAAAATGCCCAGTACTATTGACAAGGGAATGGAAAGTAACTAAATAAACATAGCAACATATGGGAAATTGCCCAGAACAATTCCTTGCACAGATGGAGACTTAAAATAATTTTGTTAAAGAAGAGAACAATTATAAGCTTAAAGCAACAATTACGAAGTTTGGATTTGATTCTGAAAGCATGTCCAAGCAAAAAGAAAAAAAATCCCTTAATCCTAATATTTTTAAATTTTTTTTACCTACATAGAAGCAGATGTGTTGGAGCATAATTTAATTATGCAATGCCCTCTGCTCTCTATTTCCAATTCAATTTAGCAAAACTTTTCCAACCACCTTCTCTAGGCAATAAATGGCAAGGAATACAAAGATGAATAGGAAATGGTCCTTTCTCTAAAGGAATTTCAGTCCCAAAGGAACGAAGCTGCTATATAAAGTGACATAATAGTAAATAGACTACTTCAGTCTCCCACCTGTGTCTGGAAATTTTATTACTTCAAAGTCATTGTCTCATAAAAACTGGAGGTACATATTACCATCTCCATCCCACAAGGTGGAAGTTGGCCTTGAAAATTTGATGGCACATATACACCATGGAATACTACGTAGTCATTGAAAGGAATGAGTTCATGTCCTTTGCAGGGACATGGATAAAGCTGGAAACAATCATTCTCAGCAAACTAACACAGGAACAGAAAACCAAACACCACATGTTCTCACTCATAAGTGGGAGTTGAGCAATGAGAACACATGACACAGGGAGGGCACATCACACACCAGGGCCTGTCGGTGTGTGTGAGGGCAAGGAGAGGGATAGCACTAAGACAAATACTTAATGCACACGGGGCTTAAAACCCAGGTGACGGGTTGATGGGTACAGTAAACCACCACGGCACATAACAAACCTGCATGTTCTGTGCATGTATCCCAGAACTTAAAGTATAATAAAAAAAATGTTTTAAGAAGCATTTTAAAAAAAGAAAATTCTTACTGTACTCTAGGTGGGTAGAGAATAGAAAAACCCTCCATTTCTGACATTTCAGAGTGACTAACAGATGGATAGCAAGAGGGGCTGCAATTTTATCTGAGTGGTTAAAACTATGTAAACAGAGACAAAAATAAAAGAGATGCAGAAGGAAGTCTCGAAATTCTCCCAAATTTAGGACAGAGATGCTTCTGGGCCAACATGTGTAGGGCTCTGGGACCAACCCTGCCTTTCTCAGACCTGCTTGGTTTGATCTATTCTACATATAAATATAATGCTGTGCCAGATTTCACTGAGGAGGGGCAGAGGATGCATTTGAAAACCACTGACGAGTGGCATCACATGGCAAGGCTGTGAAACGAATCAAAAACAACCTGTCAGCCTAACTCAACATTGAGGCACCCTTCAGGGGTACACTGAAACATATCCTTACTTTATTCCCATGAGGGTGGCTTCTATAAACTGTACCATCTACAGTGAAAAAATACTTTCCACTGTTCTTTTAGAAAGAGACTGCTTTTAGCAGGCGATGTCTGCAGAATAAATTCAACTGTACATTGTCAGGAATTCACTTAGAATAAATAAAAATCATGATGTGTTGCATGTATCACACATGTCACAGGCCTCACTGTCTTTGGCCTCACTGTCAAACAAATGAGCTCATATTGATGTCGATTACCTGTCACTGCCCCATGTGCTGGCACAGGATGCCAACCCCTCTTCAGAGTCTCTTCACATTATTTCCAGGAGTCCTCAGGAAGTAATACATGTGTGCTTACAAAGAAGCTGGCTCATGATCTTCTGCTCTGCCTGCCTTGGTGATGCCTGATGCCCTCAAGCCACTGTCCAGTACTAAAGCACCAAAGGTGCTTAAACCCCAAGATTCACAAAGACCTTCATGGGGGGAAAAAAAGCCCCTCTGCTTCTGCTTGCCACCTCTCTTTACAATGGCAGTCATACCTCGTTTCTGAGTCCAGGCTGTGTATCAGCCTGTGCTATCCTCCTCCACTTCCCCATTTCTCATGCCTGTGGTCCCAAACAATTGTATGTGATTGAGGAAGACTGGGTTACTGGCTTCATGAGTAATCTCAGGGACTGTGTTGACTCTATGCAAAACATAAAACTTACAGAAGAAAACCTAACTATGGTTTAAATAATAAGATCTTTGTTATTACCAACAAATCTGGAAGAGAGTCCCAAGGTTGGTTCAGTGTCTCAAAAATGTCAAGTTTCTCAACTCTTTCCGTCTTTTCCATTCTATCACCCTTAATGTATTGGTTTGCCCTCCACGGCTTATTGCTGCAGTCTTGAGATGGCTGCTGCAGTTCCAAATATCTTTTCCACTGTCTTGAAAGGCAGGAAAAAAGTTGAAGCTGGAAACTATCATTCTCAGCAAACTAACACAGGAAAAGAAACCAAACACTGCATGTTCCACTCATAAGTGGAGTTGAACAATAAGAACACATGGACACAGGGAGGGGAACAACACACACCGGGGCCTGTTCGGGGGTTAGGGGGAAAGAGGAAGGATAGCATTAGGATGAATACCTAATGCACACAGGGCTTAAAACCTAGATAATGAGTTGATAGATGCAGCAAACCACCGTGGCACACATATACCTATGGAACAAACCTGCACATTCTGCACAGGTATTCTGGAACTTAAAGTAAAATTAAAAAAAAAGAAAGAAAGAAAGGCAGGAAAGAAGAGGGAAAATTTTTTAAAGTTCTCAATGACTGTGTATACATTTCTGTTTAAGAATATTTTTCCAAGAAGCTCCCAAGAAGACGTCCCCATATGTCTTACTGCCTGAAGCTTTGTCACATGATCCCCCCTAGCTGCAAGAGAATCTGGCAAGAGTTGATCTGATGTTTTATCCTCAATCCAAGGAGAGAGATAAGGGAGTAGAAAAATGTCTGGTTGCTTTTGCCATGTTGTCTAAAATGACTTCCACGTGAGAATGGTGCTGGGATATGAACCCTTGTGAATGATATTTGGGCCACAAATAAACTACTTAAGGGTTAGACAATATCCAGATTACTTACCATTCACACAGAGACATTTGTGTGTAGTTTAGACCAACTATCTAAATTATAGTACTCACTTAGGTGGCGTTTGCTTAGTATCTTGGTGACATTTTAAAAACTGAAAACAAATAAGGTAAACCCATTGCC